ATCCGCATACAAGTTCCGCGTGTACATTGCCGGGCCACAGGACCGCGTCGAGCAGTCCCCCGTGTAAATTGGGCTCTATTTATGGCCAAAGGTTCGTCGATGGGGTCGGTTCGCGGTTACGGTACTTGGATGAGCAGGTGACGGAGGCGTAAATCTCATAAAAACCATGGCAAGAGCCGTTCAATATCGATGTGAATTTCAGTAATTATCAGTTCTGGTTTTTTATTCATACAACTTAATTCTCTTAATATTTAAAGAAGGACATTGTACAAAATTTCTTGCTCCAAAGTAAAAATATGAAACTATAAGGTAATATAAAAAATATATTAATTTTAATGATAAAATTTTAATAAAAGAGTAATATATAATATATACAAAAAAAAAGAATCGATAAACTGCTGCGATAAGTGATTCTGAAATGATTTTTTAACATGATGCAAAAGTTATATTTGTATGGAGAACGCAATCGGTTAATCTTTACTTAAATCGAATAAAAATTTCTGTTATCGCGGGAAGCTATTCAGTTCACATAAGTGCGACAAGTTATTTTACATCTCGTCAAGTTGCTAAGTCCTCAGCACTCTATTCTTAATTGCTTAGAGGCGGTAGTTAGTAACGATCGTCGTAAAACGATTTCCAGCTGTTTCTCTTGCTCGCTTATATGATGGTGACTCTGTAAAGTGTTTCGTTCGTAAAGTTTCGTAAAGCTTGAGCCGATAAAACTTAAAATTTTCCCAAGGTGCTCACGGTTATGCGGTTCGGCAATCCAGAAGTCGAGGCACGAATCAAGAAACGGAAGAGATGGGAGGGGGCAAGGAGGAGGGATTGACCCCCGCGTCGAGTACGACTCGCAGTCAGCTGACTCGAGCAATCTCTCAGCTGAGGCAGCGTATCGAGGCCTTCCGTGAGATATTTATCGGACTCTGGCGTAACAGCATAACAGCGCGATCTGATCGCGATGACGACTATACCAAAATATCCCTGTCATTGACCGCTAACTAATGTTCAAGCGACAAGTCCCTGACATTGGACATTATCATAACCGGACACTATTTGATACTTCAAAGTATTAAACTACTACAGATTTCAGTAATACCTTGAGTAATACATAATAAGTAATCATTAAAAAGAACTATAAGAAGAGAAAAAGTATTCAGAAATTTACATATATAGATATAGAGATATTACTCTATCATTAATATGTTAAAGAATTATTGTTAAAGAACTATATATATATATATATATATATATATATATATATATCAATGTATACAATTTTTATGACATATTTTTTGTTTAAAAAATGTTTCTATTTTTTTATCTATTTTATTTCTTAAACACACACATTTGTAATTTACAAAAAAATATGTCATAAAAATTGTATTGATATATATATAGTTCTTTAACAATAATTCTTTAACATATTAATGATAAAATAATATCTCTAACAATTCTATAAAGATAATGAGAGAAAATGCAGCTTTTTGTTGATAGCATTTTATAATACATATAATATAGTTCTAAAAAAAAGATAAAACTTCCTGTCATATTATCGTCAATAAATTTAAGTGACAACAGTTTTTATCCGTATCATTTTGCATTGATAGACAATGCAATTATAAAACAAACATTTTGTGCGGGAAAGACAATGATTTATCTTCATCTTTGCTTCCATCTTCGTTCAAAGGGAGATTCGAAGGCTCGTCTTCGAAACCTGATTTTCTCCGTTTCACTTTCACGGATGCGCAGCAAACGCAGGCCACGCCGAGCAGGCGTTAAACTTCCTCATCGGTGTGTCGGATGAAGGAAGACGAGAGGGAAGGTCGAGAAAGGGAGAAACAAAGAGTAGCACGAATAGCTTTGTGCTCTGTACTGATGAGAATCTCGGCTAGAGAATCGACGCGAAAAAGGAGGGAAAGAAAAGATAAAGAGAGAAAAATGAAAAACGTGCTCATTGGTATTCTTGCCTTATTTTTTGTTGATCTACTTTATAATATTTTAAAGATATAGTTTTTGGAGAAAAACTTCTAAGAAGGCTTCATGGTCGAGCATTAATTTGCCAAAGAGGTTACAAAAAATATTTAGAAGTCAAGGTAATATATACATCTCTGTCAAACAATATATTTCTTTGTAGCGCGTATAAACACACACACACACACACACACACACACACACACACACACACACACACACATATATATATAATATTATAGAATTATTGTAGTTTTACGGAAAATATAAAGATCGTTTTAATCAAATAATCCTATTTATAATGTATCTGAATAATAATTGAATCATCTTATCAAAATCTGTCAGTGAAAGAGTTAGTCTGTCAGTGGGCGGTTTAGATGTCTAATCTGGCGTAACTGCTTTCTGCCTAACCTAACTCGTTCAAAGGAAGTCGGTGGCTCGGTTGAATCGTACCAGGAAGCGAGGTGTCCAATTAGGCACTCGCCAACAGGAAGCCCCTTACTTCCCGATCGTAAAATATATCTATCTCGATAAGCGGTTGGACCCTGGCCGGAGTGTCCTAATGAGATGCACGGGAAAGGTCTCGGTTTTCGCGTCACGTTTCTCCATCCTCGTGCAACGCGACGCGAACTCTAACGCACACAGCGATACCGCCGCCGAAGCCACCGTCGCATCGCCGCCACGCCGCGCCGCGCCGCGCGTAGGATTCGAATTGTGAATTCTCGGGGGACGACGCGACGCTATCCTCGGCTTATCGTTTTCTCTCACCTCACCGCGCGAGCTTACGAAGAGAATCTAGTTCCAGACCGATCACCCTCTTCCTCTCCCGCCGAAACTTTATTTTTGTTAAAATGCAGAGCGTAGACGTGCGCACGACGCGGCGCAAGGCGCAGTGAATCCCGAGCTTCGATGCCACGCACGTCCCCCTGGAGTCCGTTCCGCATCCGCGTTCGTGCCATGGCACATACCGTTATATATTTTCGGTCGAAAAGGCGGAAAGGACAAAAAACGAGGGTGGGACGAAGGAGAGAAAGAGAAAGAGAAAGAAACGGTCAAGAGAAAGAAGCGTCGATGTACGCGTGGCAAAAAATCAATGCATCCTGTGCTTTGACCCCTCGCGGTTCCTTTCGAGCAACGTGGTACCGTCCGGTCGAACGGTCGGACGGCCGGTCGAGCTACGAGAACACCCGTAAACGTTCTATCCGGCGGCTCTTCATCGCTTTTTTTTAAGCATCTCTTTTTGCGCGTCCCGTCGTGTGCGTGTATCATATGCTCTATCTCGTTTGCTCACGTATTCGATTACGGGTGTCTCGTGTTACGGCATCGGGCGCGTGCAACGTTCACGTCTGCGACTGCACCTCCGGACCGAGAACATCGACAACTTCTTCGATGCATCGCCTATAGCATATCACGTTTCATACATTTTAATTCTAAAGGCACTAATGTACACGCCTTGACGCGATGAATAAGATAATTGTTGAATAAATCGTGTCATGGAGAAAATAATTTATAATTTTATACGAGAAGAATTTAGGGATAAATAATTTACAATTTTATAGGAGAAGAATTTAGAGAGCAAGATTGGAGCACATCCATAAGATCTATTTTACGTATGTCTTCACGTTCAAAATGGACTGTCTCAAAATTCTAATAATATAGATATCACAATGGAAAAGATCGCGATATAACCATGCTTTATGAATTTAATTATATTTTTTTTATGAATAATACCAACATCGTCTTCGTATTAATAAGTGGACGTAAATTTCGACAAATATTTATTAGTTTTTTATTCCGGTAACGATTATCGTGTCCATGCTACAAATTATATGAAAAATTTCAGTCGCTCAATTCGATACAACAAGGACTGATATATGATCTCTAATAATTTGTATATCAATAATTTATGGAAATCGCGATACGCGAATTCGCGACGTGCGAGTAGGAGTATAAGTCTATAGACACGCATGTATTTGCACATCGAGTATCTTCTTTGCGAACATGTCCGGGCATCGGTCCTCGTAAAAGACTTTTATGTGTTTGCGAACCGCCGAAAATAGCTACACAATCGGAACCGGTTTCGGTAGAATCTTTGCGATTTCCGTAGGATTACACTTTGGCCAAGTGAAACAACGTTCCGTCTCGTTAATATATGCGCGATACAATTACACATTCGATGTGCGATAGAATTATAAACCTTTCACTACGTCTACTTTGACCACGTCGGATATTTCCGAGTATCTAAAACTCGATGAAAATGACCTTTTTTTTATGCGCCACATGGGAACATTGAGAACACGATAAAATTGCGTCACGAGAGATTCAATTTGCTATATCCGATTGACTCCGCGTAAACAGACGTATTACTCTGCGGTTAACATAAAATTAGCAAAATTTGACTGTAAGAGCAGAGTCAAGTGACTTGTTAGGTATCTCTTTTCCGAATACATATACCTATAGAACGCATCTGCAGCGGTAAGGCATGCGAGGTTAACGACGTCATTAAAACATGCGGTGTGTTTCGAGTTAATCGTTGTTTCTATTATCTCGTCGCATAATGAATGCACTACACACATACATACATGTATCTATATCTTTCGATCCCACTTCATATTTACATATCCATACGCGCTTAATATCGCGATTTATTATGCGAAATATATGCAAAAAATGCGTTTATATCTCTTTAGCAGAATTAACCTTAAACTTTAAAAGAGGTTAGATTTTTCAGTCTAAGAGAGCCGTTTGTAAATATTAAAAATTTCCTCTTTAAGAAATTCTAAAATTACAACTAGTGAATGTGAATAAAAAATTCAAGAAAAATATCATGTCTTAAAATATTATTTCTTTCACACAGTGTCGCGTCTTTGTACAGTCCGTGCGCTTATCAGAAGTTCTAATAAACATGCTAATAATTATTGCTAAGCATGGAGCGATCGATCGTGTAGATGCAAACAAATTCACTCACCAGCCGACGATTAGCTGTCGTCTGTCGTTTTTTCTCCATTCAATTGTCGGTGGACGATTCCATTATTTCAGATTGCTCCAGGCTCCAGATGCTCCGATCCAAATCGATCGACAGGTCACAATCAATTTATACGATTCCGGATCTCGTGCAGCAAATTGACACAATTATCCCTTTGTGTGGCACTCCACGCTCGCTGTACACACACACATACGTACTGTACATTTGTCGCGACATATTTACGGTAAAACAGTTAAGTTAAATACGCGAGTAAACAACGTAAGACAGCCCGTGAGCTGACGGCCGCAGCGTCGCGTGTCGGTCGGTTTTTGCGAAACACTCTTGAAGTTAGGCGCTCGTTCCAACGCGGCGCATTACCGACGCGGCGACGGACCGACGGAAAAATTGGAGCTCCATGTGACGGCAATTTCACACCGCTACATACGTGTGTGTTTATACGTCCCTCATAACCCTCATCTTGTCATCAACGCGCGCGCGAGAGAAAGAGAAGTTATGTAGTGTTACCGTGAATTTAATCGTTGTTGAAAGACTATTAATTACTATTGAATATTTTAATTACTTCCAAACATTTATTAATTCGTTGTCCATCGCCCGTCGCTCGATTACAATTGTTCGATTCGACATTCTTGGTATTACTCGCGTGTGAAATACGCTTGAACGTCAAAAGTGAGGTTATGAATATTAAAGTATATAATAGTCGCGCGTTATTCACTGTAATCGCGTCACGCAACAAGTATCGGGAGCCCATCATGGACTCAATCATTAATTAGCGCACGCGATTATAATTAGTTTCGTTTGAGCCTTATCTACGTAAGTGATTATACGGAACACAATGCGGAGCAGCTGACAAAAAACACGGCGCTGATGGCAGATTAACTGGTAAGTAAATTCTCGATATCTTGCATATCTTATAATTGATCTCGCATATATCGCGAGTTTATGTCGTTACATCGTAGGGAATTGCGTATCTTATATTATTCTTGAGATACATTGCATTAAATAATATAGAATTAGACGGTATATTGTACAAATAATTTTGTTGTCCAAACGATGGAACATAAATTTCAAAACTTATGGTGGGTTTGTCGATCCAACCATATGCGCTATTCATTTCTCAAAAGCTATAACAATTGTCTAAAATTCTAAATTTTGCATGCCATTGATCAAAATAAAACTGTCACGTATTCGGAGTGACCCGTAAATAAAAGTCAAGTACAAGTCTGGAATAATATTTTCCGAGAAAAGCATGAAAAAGTATGTGTATCGAATTCTCCATAAGGTCACTGAAAATTGTCGAAGAAGGTAGATAGTATTTATACGTTGACGGTTACGGTCAAGGACTTCATGACGTCAACGGTAGCGGTTGTTAAAGAATTTAGGTCGAAAAGTCACTGTTGTTCGTTCGACCGGCAGTGCAAGAATTCGATGCCTCCGATTTCGTAGGGCAACACGCGTAAGTAACGTGCACGCCTTTCCACGTTTTTTTCCCAACGAGAACGTAAATTATCCCGCTACAGTCTCATTGGAATCGTCGCTCGCTTTTCGCTGGACTTGCTAATTATTTGAATTGCAAATTCGTGACACCGATAATGAAACATCATTCCGTTACTGGGGCATTAGGCTCGAAAATTATATATGCAAAATATATATATATATATATGAACAGTATATCTCAGAGATTGTGAAAAGAAAAATGTCACGCTGCGACCGACGTATTGATCAGATAACGGATAAATATTTTAGTTAAATAATAGATTACATTATCGCTACAACTCGTTGAATTTACTTTACAGCATCTTTATCTGTATAAAAAATGCTAGTCATACAACTGAATAGCACAGTATTTTGTGTATTTCTTTTGTTGTATATTTTTAGTTAACACGTAAAACTACATATTACTACATATTAATAAAAGCTTTTACAAAAAATATTAAATTAAAGAAAAGCAATTAAAGCTATTGTTTGTAAAGAAAAATACTTAATTTTGTTCAATTGCAATATTAGATACAAAGATTATCATAAACAATCAATAGCAATATTTCAACAAAAGATAATTTTACTCTACGGAAGAACCCTCATCTCCTCGAGCCTTTCACTGAGAAAAGATGAAATCAATTTCCCAGTATGACGTAAGATTGGATATAATATCCTGTCTGACTTCTTATATACACAGTTCGATATAACTTCGGCAAAGAATATAATCTTTGTTGTAGTGTAAAATATGTAAATGTTTAATATGTGTGTTTAATTAGAAACAATGTACCATTTTACACATTATCGGAAATGAAAATGGAAAATTTTGGAAAACTGGGGACTTTTTTTATTTTTATAAGAAAAGCTTTTGCTTGAATTAACAAAATTATTTCATCGTTTTCATTACATTTCAGTTATTATATATCTTAGTTCAAAATGCATATTTCAGTATTATTTTTCTTCAGTTCTTGTTTTTTTAAATTAAAGTAACAAATTTGTATGAATTATAAATTAAAAAAATGTTTTGTTGACTCGTTTAGTCTTCTTACAAATTTTGACGAGAAAAACGGAGAAATAATTAAAAGAAAGGATAACAGATTTTATTTTTGTAAATACTATTCTACCTATAATTGATTCGAAGAGAAAGAGAGCGTGCCAAGAGGAAAGTAAATAAATTCGCATACGTGATCGCACGCGCACGTTGCTGCTGTTGCAAGCCTGCCTCCATTGCAAGGGTCATCAGAACCGGCAGCCCTCTCTCCTCCCTTTCTTCCTTTCCTTTCTTTTTCTTCTTCTTTTATTTCTTCTTTTTCTTCCAACCCTTGGCACTCTTCGTGTCGTCACGGACGCTCGTGCCAGCCCGTAACGCGCGAAGCGCAGAGGTTACATAATTATTCCGGCCGTGCCTCGCAAGCGTTTCTTGGCCAATAGGACTGTGGTTCTATAGGACAGTGGATGGTGTCCCCATAGAAGCCACGCCTCGTGACCCAGACTCCCACATAACTGTTCTCGAAACATCATCGGCAGTCGGAATGAATCGACGCAACGCAAAAGGAAGAAAGTAGCGTTGCAGTAGTAAGAGAAGCAGAATGGAAAAAGATAGGGCATACACGGATAGGATATACGCCGTCTGTTCTCTCTCTCTCTCTCTCTCTCTCTCTCTCTCTCTTTCTTTTTATCGTAATTATACAATGAAATACAAAATTGGCATTATAGATTCTATCATCATCGTACGGTACCTAAACGTACATTATTATCATAAATATTGAAATTTTTGCAATAATATACATCTCGATACTGTAATACGAACACGAATAGACTGGAATTTATATTGCCGCACACTGTTAGACGTCGCAACGGTAAACTTTGATATCGAACCACATACAAGTTACTATGCAAATCGAATTGTAACTTTATGAGAGCAAGAACCTTCGTTTCCTTGACGTTATATTATAGATATACATATCTTTCTTTTATATATATATATATATATATATATATAATGTATAAAATAATTTTGTAATTAGTTTTTATTTAATAATTTATTTGTAATTATCTAAACGTTCTGCTAATGTTATTCAATGACTGTAAAAATCTATATGGTTAAGTAATATGTTACAAAACTTGATTACAAAGACGAATAATCTAGCCATCTATTTTATGTTTGTAAAAGTGTAAAATAGTTGTCTCTTAAGCCATGCCAAGCACTCGAGTTCCAGTGCCAAGTGGCCGGTTTAATGGCACGTTCAAGGTGTGTCCACAGCAATTCAAGGTCCGTGATATGCTGTCGTGATTCTGTTATCACTTCCTAACGTAACAGTCACTCCCATTGTTTGTCTGACGATATTTCGTCGTGTACCTACGTACATATAATATGTATCTATACATGCTCAATTGAGATATCACTTTTCCGGAATCAGTCGCGTCTTTTCTTCGACGAGACGTATTATCGGGAAATACGAAAACATAAAAAATAAGAAATAATAAGCTAATTTATTATGCAAACACAATCTTCTGACATTTCCAAAAGCATAAATGGTATTATGGTGCTTAATAATTATTGTATAAATATTTAAGTGACACTTAAAAATATTATTTATTTTTTTATAAATAATGCTTCATGTATATAAAATTTCATGAGTATATAGACAAGAGATTTTAATCCTTTCGGCGATGAAGGCACGTGCACACCTTGAAAGTATTGCGGACAAACGAGGAATTCTCTTGGCGCGCGCACGGCCATCCGTCAAATTAAGGGATGAAAAATGTACAAAACCTGGATGTTTCATCTTTCAACGTCCTATTTTTCTGTCACCTACACGCGTCCCTTTATCCTTTTTGTCGCTCTTGGCTTCGCGCCGCTATGGGTCACTACTGCGCGTGGCTACTCAATGGACAGTATATGCCGGCCACTCGGCCCCGCAAAACGCGTGTCGAGAGGATTATCAAAGAATGCTCGGACATTGGTAGAACTTTTAGGGCCTTTTTAGTTTGCCGTCCTTTGAACCCATTCACGTAGGCACTCGAGCGTGCCCACCGTAGCCTACGTTTCGCGCGATTCATCCGCGGTTACATGACAGCTGGGAAAGGACATACGACGCGTCTAATTGCCAATTAAAAAGACATTTTTCGCCGCAGGCAAGCTGACCGCTTGAATGGCCGGCACTATATATTTGACCACCGTCAACACTTGGACATCTGCATTTTGGTCAGTATAAAACCGCCATTCGTGGAGCTAAACGTTTCTTTCATTGCTCTCAGTGGTTGTGAAACTTTCTCTCTGCGGGTATAGCGAAAGGGTTATGATGGAAAATTCGAAAAACACACAGAAGATCTATTGATTATAAGTTGAAACAAATTGAAATATGGTCTTGTTGTTGATTCTATATTGAATTAAAAAAAAAAAAAAAAAAAATTTCATGTTAATCTTATCAGTTCCGCTTTAATACATAAAGTTATGATGTATTACGAGTTGTTGACTAATTTATCAGAAATATGCTGAATATTCTTTATTATTTTTATATATATAATTTAACTTTCATAGTAATAATTAGAACAAAATTTACAATTCTAAACTTTCAAAAACATATACAACCGACAAAATCTAACAGCTTTATAGTCAAATATTCCATTAAATTATTTGTATTATATATGAAAACGTAATTCACCTGAAAAAATTTCCGACAAATCCATATTCAATTTTTCTTCAATTTTTTATTCTTATCTTTTGTTTTTTAGTTTTTCATTTATTTAATATTTTCCATTCATGTGTAATTGAAGTGTAAAGTGGCGAAAAAGTATAATGTCACCATGTCTTAAATCTTAATGTTTATGTCGATCAAATATCATGCATATTTATTCCGTCTTGAGATGCAACAATCGCGAGTCTTTAATTCTCGGTAGAATAGCTAATGCACACGCGTGCATGCGATGCAATTCATGTATCGCGTGGGCCGTGAGTTACGCGGTAACTTCCGGGTCGATTTCAATCGTCGATCTCGTGGATGAAATTCGACGGTTACCAGGAAGCGATCGATTCGCTCTGATGGAAGTGCGTGCAGTAGCCGTCCTTGTCGAGTCCACCCGATCGTCATTGGCGGGTCAGATAGGCGTGGATGGCGCGGCATATGGGCACAAAAGGAACCGAGAAGCGGACTCTGCTCTTGAGAAGAATTTCTCTTTCCCCTCTCGAGATCGCCGTCCTTCTGTTCGCATCTTTTTTTCTCATCATTTTTACCCGTCTCCTCCTACTCTCATTTTTTTTTACCGGAAAACCAGTTCGAGACTAGATGCAATGCGAGATACGAACACCCGGAAGGAGATCTCGCTACCGTACAAGCTGCGGCCAAGAAGCCCGAAATTTCGTAAAAAGGGTTCGGGAAATAACAAAACTGGCGGGACCAGCT